AATGTGTTAATTATATAATTTGTTTAATGATATATCGTGTTGGTTGAATTAAATTGGTCTCACTCAAATACGCAAACGTAAATAATTACCAATCAATTGTGGTAATGATCTCGTGTTTCTCACAACACGATAAACTTCGTCTCAAGTATTCCTCCTAATTTAATATAGGTTAATTTCAAATAGCTGAATAATGAAATAAACCGAAGTGTGTGTGACAGTTATATAAGCATAATCTGTGTTAAAATAGGCCTATATAAGCTTGTTTTAAGCATTCCTCTTAATCTCATATAGGTTAATTTCAAATAGCTGATTGATAATATAAACCGAAACATGTTTACAAATCAGTTATTTAAACATAACCTGTGTTCAAATAATTCTTAATACAATACTATTGTTTTATTTCAACAAATCAATTAATAGAAATTATGTTATTCTTTATACTGTTCAACGCGCCTTATCGAAACGAACAAATATTTTCCCACAATGTGTTTATTGCTTTTTTTTTTTAGAAACAATCTCATATATTTAAAATGCACCATGCTGAATTAAACCACATTGTATGCACCATGCTGAATTAAATCACATTGTCATTCTTGTTAAGTACAAACCATGTGACCAATGTTCATTTTATTTATATGAAGCCTACAAATTAATTCGTTAGTTAATAAACTTCCGCGAAGATTACCTGATAACTACAAAAACGAGTTTAGCGCCCTCTGTAGTTTAACAATATGTATTACTACTTGCACTTTTACAATATTGATGACATTCAATATCATAATACTATTCACTTCGCCTTATAAAACAGTACGGTATACAATATAATTCAATGGGACACTACCGTATGCGTCCATAAAATGAAATACAGGATAAAAACGTACATAATTTTTATTACCACTAATGTCAGTGGGTAATAAACATGCTTTTCCTTAAATTGTAAATAATAATAATAATAATAATAATAATAATAATAATAATAATAATAATAATAATAATAATTATAATAATTTATATTTATTCAGAAATTCAGAAAAATTCCACAACCAATTACAAAATATTTACATAGGCATCAAAAGAAGTGGTGGCTTGTCAGTTTGAATACAAAACATACGAAACATACACGCACAGAATACATAGTAATCAACATTTTAAGTTTTATATTTTGGATCGCCCACAATTGCCGGTACCTCCCGAAAGTGGAAATAATAATAATAATAATAATAATAATAATAATAATAATAATAATAATAATAATAATAATAATAATAATAATAATAATAATAAGAATAATAAGAATAATAATAATAATAATAATAATAATAATAATAAGTAAACTTAGGCTGTACGTAAATCAATCTTACTAGAGTGGTTTGAATATTTATATATTGATTTAATGTATAATTTGTTAATTTGATAGGTTTTTTTAGTGCTTTTATAAATTAAAAAAAAAAATCATATATTTAAAATGCACTACTGTATGCTGAATTGCTGAATTTTAAAAACATAAATCATGTCACCAATATTCTTTTAAATTCTATCAGGCATACAAATGAATTCGTTAGTTGAAAAACTGCCGCAAAGATTCTCCTGATAACCCAAAAAACGAGTCTAGCGCCCTCTGTAGTTCAGCAATATGTATTGAAACTTGCTTTTTTACAATATCGATGGCGTTCAACATTATTATACTATTTACTTCGCCTTATGAAAACCGTATACAATGTAAATTAATGAGGCATAATTTATTTTTAATACGACTAATATCAATGGGTAATACACATGTTTTACGTTAAATTGTATTATAAAATAATAATAATATTAAAAATAATTGGCGATGAATGGCTATAAGTAATCTTCGGCCCTACGTAAATAAATCTTATTAGAGGAAGGGAGTAATCAAATAATTATCAATATAATACTAATTTTTTAATTACACAATTCAATTAGTGAACTTACATAAATTATTAAAAGATGGGTGGTCAAAAATATAATTATTCTTGAGAAATGAAAATTATATCAATAATAAAATAATAGGCCTATGGATTTACTAATGAATTTGGATGATATATAACCAGGATAAATAAATACATAAGAAATTGCGTCCATAAAATGAAATACAGTATAAAAACGTACATAATTTTTAATACGACTAATATGGGTAATACACATGCTTTTCGTTAAATTGTAAATAAAATATTAATAATATTTAAAATATTTGGCGATCAATGGCTATGAATAAACTGAGACCATACGTAAATAATCTTTTTTAGAGAGATTTGAACTTATTCTTATTCAATTTATGATCAAATAATTATTAATATAATACTATTTTTTTAATTCAACAATTAATGGGCTTACATAAATTATTCAAAAACGGCTGGTCAGAAATAAAATTCTTCTTGAGAAATGAAAATGATATCAATATTATAGTAAAAGTAATAGGCCTAGAATTTAATAATGAATTTTGATGATATATTAACCAGTATAAATAAATACATAAGAACTTCATACAATTTTAGTAAAAGTATTATAGGCATAAGAATATGGTAATATAATTGTGCCTAATTTCAAAGTTCAAACTTAAAAAACATTCATGTGTTAGCTAATAGGTTTGAAAATATTATTCTGTATATTAATTACTTACATTGTATATTTTATTAGGTTAAAAGTTTGAATAAAAAGGCATCGGTAATTTACAGACGTACAAAATAATACGTTCTAATATTCTTTGCCTAAGATAGGCCATGCGGCCGGGCATGCGGCATTCTGTCTAGGGACTTTCGTACTAAATGATTTATCAACTCTAACTGTTCCTTCTTATATATTAACTGCTATATTTATTTTACTCGTGCTCTTCTTTGTAGTTAAGGCCTATACATCGTTAAAATTATGTGTACCACACTTTGGAAAAACACAGACACCAATTCTAAAACAATTTTACACGCACCGTTGTCAAGTATTCTCATGTATTTATAAAATGTTAATACAGAGTTCACGCACGAACAATTTACAAGGCATAAGGCCTACTATACTGTACTGACAAAACATAGGCATGCTAATATCATTTTTTTAAACATACCAAACACAAATCATGGCTCAAAAATTATACATTTATGTTTAGACATTTTAACCCTACTCCCTTTTCCAAATCACTTCTAAAGAATATTATTGTGATTTGTTATTCTTATTTTAACTCTTAATAATTATGAAAAAAATGACCAAAAATTGATGGTAAATAAAATTAATAAAATTAATTCAAATGAATGCGTGTATTATAAAACACATTTTTAACTGTTTATGATATAATAATTCCTAAATGATATAGGAAAATCATCGTACGATTTAAATTATGAAACTCGTAAAAAATAATGTTGGTAGTTGTATGAACTGTATCGTAATTCAGTGTAATGTTTGTTTTGTAGGACGGCTGGACGCCATTAATGCTCGCTGTGGACTGGGGAGCACCAGATGATGTGTTGGAGAATATGATTGAAACGGCAACAGTTAAGTGTTTAGAACATGAGAGGGTGAGTAGAATTAAATATCATTGCATTTTAAACATCACAATCACACAGCATGTGTACACATCATACGACATACAAATAACTCAAAGTCAATTACTGTGATTTTTTTCATGTTGGGTTAAAAATGGGATTTTTATTTTATGATTTATTTGACATTTTTTACAACACAGAAAAAGCCTATGCTCTGGCCATTATCACTAATTCATATGAAATATTGTGAAAAAAATACATTTTACACTTACAAAAATAGTCATGTTTGGATTTGTTCTGTTTAATACAGTTTACCGAATAAATTGATGACAATAAAATTGATATTTTTCACAAAAAGTATTGTCGCTAAAAATCCCGATTTGGAAATATTTTACTATTGTGTGTAAAACATAGGCCAATTGATACAAATATTTTTTTGCGCGATTTCGCTTAAAAAACCACATTTTAAAAATATTAAATAATGTAATTAGTATTTAATAATGATGAATGTAATAAGTAATGTATGTGTGATGTTTGTGAGTTGTTATGTGTTGTTGATTTTTGGTGTGTGTATAGTTTCTTGTTGTTGTTTATTATTTCTTTTTTCATCATATTCTACGTTTGTCTTGTAGCGTCATTTTTGTTTCACTATTCTCCATTACTTGGCGATCCACGCACGCGTGTCAGCAATGAGACGCGTGTTGGAAAAAACCAACAAGAAGATTAACACGCAAGACTACGTGAGTACAGTAGAAGAAAACAACACTTTATTCATTGCTAACAAATTAACATTAATTCACTCACAAACACATTCAATACATCACGTTCTAATTTAGTAATATTCTTGGTTATAATACTGAGATGTACGGAAGCTTAAAGTGACCTTCCGAGTTTCCGAGTTTCCAAGATAATTATCTTGGAAACATGGAATAAACACTTATTAAGACGTCTTTCCGAGATAATTTATCTCGGAAAGACGGCTTTCCGAGATAACGTATTTTGGAAAGACGGAATTCCAAGATAACGTATCTTGGAAAGACGGAATTCAAAGATAATTGATCTTGGAAAGACGGAATTCCAAGATAAGTATCTTAGAAAGACGGAATTCAAAGATAACGTATCTTGGAAAGACGAAATTCCAAGATAACGTATCTTGGAAAGACGGAATTCCAAGATAAATTATCTTGGAAAGACGGAATTCCAAGAAACGTTATCTTGGAAAGACGTCTTTCCAAGATACATTTTGAGGATATTTCCTGCACGATTAAAATCGTAACGGTACTGGGTTCGGTCTTCAGGAGTTCGTGTTTCGTACAGGTCAATCCATTCATAGAAAAGGCCTTTATTGGAGAAAGCGTACCTGTCGTTAGCCATAGTAACCTAGGTCAATACTAACCCCGGCTATATAAAATTGATTATAAAAATTGAAAAATATTAATCTTATTATTGTAGTAGTGATACTATGTACACGTTTTAATTATTGTTATTTATTCGTTAACGTCATTTTATTTACATTTAAATTTCCAATGTTAAAATAATCTTATTTATCAAAGTTGTATATTTAAATAATATAGTAATAACCAAGCCGAGGTATAGCCTAGTCTAGGCCTAAACAATTGGAATG